TAGCAGCAGCGTGCACTCGATTAAACGGGGAAGAAGCGAAGCGAGTCCTTCCGAAAGTCGCGCGCAGAATGAAGCGATCACGGAAGAGTGATCGGGGCGTGGTGTCGCGCGATCGGGGCCGCGGTAGAGCCCGGCATTCCTATGACATTCCTATAATCCCGAATTCGTGTCCCGGGGAGAGCGTGGCGTCGACAGCGGAGGAACCGGTTTTCGCCGCCGCACAGATTGGGCGAGCGTGCCGTGCGTACGTGCGTGCGTGCGTGCATGCGTGCGTGCGATCGGAACGAAAACTCGGCGCGGATTCGGCGTTACGACGCGCCTTGCCTAGGCCAGAGATATCGCGCGCGATGACCATACATGTTCATCCCGGACGACCGGCACCATACGGAGCGTCCCACATACTCGGGCTGCCATCCGTCGCGATGGCGGTGCGTCGCGCCGAGGCCGTCGCGGCAACGGTATCGGGAGCGTCTCATTAAGGATTCAGCGTGTCCTTTAGCTCGCGCCGGTTTCGCGCGAGTCTGACGACGAACCGGGCCGTCACCGGACGCCCGCGTGTCACGCCGCGGCACGAAACCACGTGACACCGAGGTGGAGTCGCCGACGACTCGGGCAGTTTCCGGAAGAGCGTCGCGGAAGTTACGCGCGCGAGGGAAGATTAATTAACGGGACGAATTTTACCTGGCGGCTTATTAACAGCCGCTCGTTTCCTCGCGGGGGATTGGCAACTTCATCCGCCGGGACGTTACCTAACCGCACGTGTTGCAATGGAAAAGCGATGAAGAGATCGTTGCTGCTTATTAGGCCTGTCTCCGACCGTCGGTTCTGACTTGGTTCAATCTTTCTCCCGGCGCGCACCGCGCGTTTACGTATAATAATTATTTTAGAACCGCGCCGCATGTGGCGCAGGAACACCGGTCGAAATGAGATATGACTCGTGCACGTTTCTACATCGAGATGCATCGGTCTCTCCCGAGTGTCTCGTCTTAATACACCCAAGGGGATAACGCGAGACACCTCGTGAATTCGTTTACGCAACTTGTACGCAAGCGAACTTCGATCGTTTATCTTACAATTAGTAAAATTTATATCGAAGGTGTTAATTTGTACCAAGCAAGCTATTCTCACTGTACGTTGCGCAACCCATTCATGGAAGCCTGGCCTATTACGGAAAGCGAGATCGCGGTTGTGCAACGAGGATCTCGGATCGCGAAGTAAATAGCGCTTATCCTTGACACTGGTGCTCCATTAATATTCAGATTACCTGGAACAGTCGCGTTATTTACGTTTCTCGCTGGATATGACTGGTCTCGCGTCAAATCTAATAATCTCAAGAGACAAATTTTCTCAGGGACGAAAGAGAACAGAGTTCGTAGAAATCCGTTTACCGCGTGAAGAGTCTATAGAGACTATTTGGCATTATATATTTTGTGCACTTTCTTTAACCCCTTCATTTTATCCGTTTTAACGTCAGATCGTATTTCTGGGGTTTAGCCATGGTGGAAAGATATAAGGTGAGGCAATCCTCGTGACGAGTTTCGTTTCGTTCTGCGCATCCCAGGTTTGGTGGGGGATCCGCACAGTTTCCGCCATCTTTTTTTCGATAACACGTTTCGATAACCATGGTTAGTAAAAGTTGTTTACTTCAAGCGTTATTTGAAAACTGTCATTGTGATTGAATAATAAATATGGATATATGTATATTGAAGGGTAATTCAATATTCAATTTTTCTAGTTTTTTTAAGGCAATTTCCGATGTTCTCGCGCAATATTCTATTATGCAGGAATAAAAGCTTGGTGAAGAGCATCGTCAAGTCTCTTGGCGCGACAGAGACGGAGCTGAACGCGTCGAGACGGACGACTCGCGTTGTGGGGGCACGGGCGTGCGGACGGTGAATCTTCTCCGTGGAATAATAAGAGTAATCATTTTTCAGTAATTGTGCCTTTGAGAGATTTTCCTATCCATTCCTATTTGTTTGAATTTCCTAGTTAAGTATAATACTGTTCAAATAGACCGCTAGTAATGGCCGAAACTGTGCGGCGTTCTCTATTGGCTGATCCCAAACTGAAACTCATGATGCGCATTGCCTCACCTTATTTCTTTCCACCATGGGTTTAGCTTTGTACGAGGTGGAAACAGCTGAGGGCATTGTGGTGTACAGATTTGCGGCATTACTGGGCATTATTAGGCATTTTTTGGGCATTAGTTTGGGCCTCTAGGTCTTGCTCGGGCATTATAAATATATAAGATAAAATAAAATAATGAGATAAAGTAATGCCCACTGGGCATTGACGGACATTGGTGTACAAGATTTTGGTCAGCGGTTTCCCCCTCGGTTCTGTATCTTGCACTATAGTGAAAATGTTAAAAATGAACAGCTTCGTCTCTTTCCAACCTTCCCCTAAAAACGAGGCGTAGCTCACTTTTAGCATTTTCACTATATTGCAAGATACAGAATTGACCACCTGACGTAGATACCTTTCGTGCCAGCAGGTATTTCTATTATTTCCAGCCTCGTAACGTGTGGCACAAAAACAACTTTGTTGGACGATTGCTTCGCCAATCGTCGGTGGATTAATATCTTCATTAAACTCGGCCTCATGGCCGAACAGCTTAAGTAGTTGTCACAAGCGGTCACTCACACACACAAATTAGGTCACCGAATCCTTGGACTATAACAATTATTACCTGGGACCGTCATGGAATCGCGTGCGGGGAATTGATATAGTAATCATCTCGGCGTGATGCGAGCGCCGCGTAATAGATATGGATGATAATCCAAATACGTCATATTTATTTGCGTATGTGTGCGCGTAAGTGGAAACACAGCGATGCGAGTATAATGGCGAGGATAAATAACAACTTTTTCTCGTCGATACACGTCATCGATGTAATTGTAATTAATGGCTCGTACACTAGGATGCCTTTCCACGTGAATTTATGACACGTATCGACACATCTATACATTTTGCATACATGGGAAATGTAGAAGAAAGTTCTCTGTCATTAGATGGGATTCTAATGTGAGATAATAGGTTTTCAACGTCCACATTCAATCACGAATCTTTTTCCCAACGATTACACGATCTAACAATCAATCTTCCACAGATTTTATCCTAAGGGCGATGAATTATTTCACGGTGGAACCAACGGACGACGCCTATTAATTTAGCAGAAACTCCGCTGTCTCGTATTAAGAGCCTATCTCATAATAGGGGACTTTTCTCTACTTTTACATCTCATCATATCCTCATGTTGTAATTTCATTAGATGAACGCAGCGTACCAGTGCTATTGCTTGTAATTAACAAACACCGGGAGAAAAAATAACAAACGTATGCTGCTCCGACATGAGAATTAATATTTTTGAATAAAACGAAAGAGCACAATTTGATTAAATTTGATAAATACATTTTGTTTCCCTATTTGTAAAACGAAATAGCTTGGTTCAAATTGTTTAAAAATAAATACCGCGAACTTGGTCTGTAATAAATTTTAAATAAATTTCCAAATCGAAGTCTTAATAGAGTCCCGGTTCTGATCGTTATTGTAGGATCAAAAGTTACGAAAATATCGAGGAAAATATAGCAGCCTATCTCATAATAGAAGATTTTCTTCTATATGTGTTCTACGTGTACTTAAATTCATGGCGAAGGCATCAGTGATTCTAGTGTACATTCGATAATTCCAACCTCCTCGTACGATAATTCCTCTTAAATCTTTCTTTGAGATGCGTCCAGATTATTCTTCGTATGACGTTTCAAAGACGCTTATTTGGTACGTTGTGCCCAAAATATTCAAACTGCAATAATTTCACAGCACGTTTGCTTAAATATAAAAGTAAGCTAAAAAATCTGTCGGCATCATCTTTATTTAACACGAACAAAATATCTCGGCAAAAGCGAGACGAGGAGAATGCGCAGGTGTCGTAAGTTATGCCGTTAATAATTTCCTATTTAATCCTCCACGTGTTTCCCAACTGATTTCTTAACGCGCCACGTTGTGTCTTCACATTTTCAACGTCCCTTCCTTTCCATTATGGCCTAGAGAATTACATTACGCGGTATATATAGAGTTGCATTTCCAGAAAGAAACTCGCTTGACGTCCGGTCTTATCACTTCCGGCCTCGCCTCTTCTCGCTTACGTACGACGTGCAACAGGGAGTCGCGTCGAAGCATTCGTGTCAAGGAAGAAGAAAGACAATTCACGCAAAATTCACCTTGCACTCTTTTAATAAAACCGTGATTCTATATTTATCGCGGTCGCGGTGGGATGAGCCATATATTTTTCTCTGGCTCCATTGTAAATATCGTTTTAAGAGCCTCTTTTCGTAAGACGAAAAGCCGGCAACAGAAATTACGTGAGCCTCACGTTGGAAAGTCTGATTCTAGATAAGCGAATTATCGCGAATCTTTATCTTGTTAATCATCGTTTCGGGAAATCAGCATAGACATATTTCGATAAAACAGTTTAAGTGATTCAGAGGTAAAAGGTACATTAAAAAAAAAAACGCGTCGAAAGTGCCGGTGCGATGAATCGTAACTCGAACAGTAATGGTTCGGTAAACTGTAAACACGCCCCTTTTCCTGTTGTATCAGGAAGCAGCTCCGGGTCCATCCGGTCGTTGCGGAAACCTGCGATTGGATCGATTTCATCGTCATCGGGATGAAAGAGCTGAACTCGCAATTAAATTTCGAATTTCTCGTTTCGAATTCGTCGACTAGTTTTCACTCGACCGCACGCTTTTCAGACGCAGTACTGAATACACGAAAAGTACAGCGCGATTGTCCCTTCGTGTATCTGCGTCAATTGATATTCACTGGCAATCACATTGGTACGTTTAACTTTCTGAAATTGCAGACATTCGCCAAGATGCGGGGGGGGGGGAGATACTTTTCGCGTATTACGGTTTGCGACGAGTATTTCTGCAAACGTACGCGGAGAGAATTTTCTCTTGAAGTTTATCCCGAAAGTCATACGAACGTGGAATTTCGAAGAACTTTATGATGGGAGTTTTTGTGGAAATTTTACCATACATTTTACTAGTAAAATCGAGGGGTAAACCGCTGACCAAGATCACGTGCACCAATGCCTACTAATGCCCAGTGTGCTTACTTCATCTTATTATCTTATTTATCTTGTTTTGTCTTATTTGATCTTATTTCATCTCATTTTATCTTTGTAATGCCCTAGCAAGGCCTAATGCCCAACAAATGCCTAGTAATGCCTAGTAATGCCCAGTAATGCCGCAAATCTGTACACTACAATGCCCTCTCAGCGGTTTACCCCTCAAACAAAATGTAGGAGAAAGTCCTCTATTATGAGATACGTTTCTAATATCAGATAGCAGGTTTTCAACGCCCAAATTCAATCGCAAATCTTTTTTCGCAACTACACAATTTAACAGTGAATTTTCCACTAAACAGATTTCACTCCGAAGACGATAAATTCATGGTGGAATCAACCAATGATGCCCATTAATTTAGCAGAAACCCCGCTATCTCATATTAGGATCCTATCTCATAATAGGGGACTTTCCTCTATATTAAGTATTAATAGTAAAATATATGGTAAAATTTCAGAAAAAAACTCTCATAAAATTCCTCGAAATACCGTGTTGTCCCACGATTACACGATTTTCCGGACAAACTTTGAAAGAAAATTCTCTCCGCGTAGAACTCGCGCCGGCCGAGGCTGCAATTGTCCTTCCCTCCCATCCATTTTTTGCTCTCTCCGATTAAAACACTTTCGCACGATACTACGTGCGTAATGCGCCGACCCACTTGAAGGGGTTAATTTCGGTCAGGGTGACGCTCGTACGTTACTCTCGTCGTGCGGATAATCGACCCTCATTAGCGGTGGGAAGCCGTCGTGTGAAAAGTGTTGCTGCGCGAGTTCCAACGTGCGGGACGATGCCTGGACTAGCGTAGATGCTAATGACGTTACGAAATTTGGGAACGATCCTGACCGTTATCCGTTATCTCGGCGGAGCGATCTGTTTCGCGGCTCGAGGAAACAAAACTAACAAAGTCACGAATCGATCCCTACACTGAAAAAAATTTCTGGTTGAATATGGACGAATCAGATAATTCCTTTAGGATTTACCAGAATTCCTGTAATCCTACAGAAATTCTGGTAAATCCTAAAGGAATTCTGGTAAATCCTAAAGGAATTATCTGATTCGTCCATATTCAACCAGAAATTTTTTTCAGTGTACGGAGCCCGTTACTTTCACGCTCGTGTAATACAGGAAAAAAAATGTTATTTTGCGGTAGCCAACGTTAATGACTGCAACAATACGCTCGCGTAACTCCAGTACGTCGTAAGTGCTGCTGTTTAGCGCGCCGTGATACTTTTAGCGAATTTGGTTGCCTGCACTAGTGCGCACCGAGCGAACACCTAGAGCTTGTTAAGAGTCAATTCTTATATTTAACTTTGTCTTCAATACATGTTCAAAGAGTATTTAGTGAAAAAGTAATTAGTGAACGTGCTGTACGGATCATTTTACTGGCCAAGAAGTCTTTCAAGGGGTATTTAAAATGATCCTCAAATATAAGAATTGGCTGCAAACGAGCCTTAGTGCGCAACGAGTCCACACTAAGGCTTGTTTATAGTCCATTCTTATATGTAACTTTGTCTTAAATACATGTTCAAAGAGTATTTAGCCGAAAAGTGATTAGTGCAGGTGCTGTACGGATCATTTACTGGCTACGAAATTTATCAACAGGTATTTAAAATAATTCTCCAATATAAGAATTGACTGTAAACGAGCCTTAGTGCGCACGGAGTTCACACTAAGGCTTGTTTATGGTCAGTTCTTATATGTAACTTTGTCTTAAATACATGTTCAAAGAGTATTTAGCCGAAAAGTGATTAGTGCAGGTGCTGTACGGATCATTTACTGGCTACGAAATTTTTCAACAGGTATTTAAAATAATTCTCCAATATAAGAATTGACTGTAAACGAACCTTAGCGCGTGCTGATTGTGCACTAGTGCGAGCAACCGAATTCGTTATTTGCGATTCGCTATTTGCGATTCGAAAGTTTGCGTGCTGCTCTTGCGTTCGACAATTAAACGAGCATCAAGATCAAAGCCACGCTAGCTGACAATGAGACGTGAATCTAGTTGATAAGCTTCAATTAGACGCCGGCAGTTTGTATGATACAACTGAAATCTACGACTGTTAATGTATATCCGAAGTACTTTTGCCAGATTAACAAGGTTTTGTTAAATAGAAAAAACGTTTCTTGCGGTCTCTATTAAAAACTGTAATTACATGGTGGTGAAACAAACATCACGCCTCAAGTGATAATTATGCGTATTTAGAAACGTGACGTATAGAGTCTCATTTTGAACGGCGGTAATTTCCTGACAGCGGAAGCTGCTCGTTTTCTCTAAGAGGTCATTCTTCTTGATCGCACTTTGAGGACAGATGCGCGCGCGGTCCTCAGCCTCTCCTCTCGCGGCGGAGACCGATCGCTCGGGGATATCGCGAATTCCGATCGCCCACGTCGAACCAAAGCCCCCTTGCCGCGGATTATGCAATCGCTGTCGCATTGTCAAGGGGCGGCGGGGAAAGGGGGGGACTACCCTCGTTCCATTATGTCCCGCGTGGCGAGTAGGCAGGCGCGCGTATATCGCGCATAAGTTATGCACCGCGCGGGAATTGCGCGCGGCGCGGCTTGGTGCGCAAGGACAGGGCGCGCCTCGCGGTGCCCGGCGCCGCTCGAGACGAGACGAGAGGAGAAAGACGAACGAAAGCTCTGCGTTTCGGGAAACGGGAGAGGGAGTGACCGAGAGGAGACGAGACGCGAACCTCGCGTTTTCGCATACATACGTAATCGGACACGCACCTGACAGCGTACGGTCCGCGCATTCTTCGGCTCGATGTTTAATTCGCAGGCCGTCTAACGTTAGGAATGTTCGCCAGAGGCGCGGAAATTCTTAGCGGATCTCTTTCCCCTATTTTGTTTCGACGGTTTTCGATGGTCCCTGTATAGGTAGGCATTCTTGCGAAACTTGCGGGGCAAATTTTGAAAGGCACGCTCGATAGAATTTGAAATCGGGGATATTGATTTGTGGCCCATCCACCTGTTGTTACCATACGCTTCGCTTTAGAAATATATGAGATTTTCGAGAATTTTGCTTGATAAAACCGCTCGTTGGCCGACCGCCAACGTAAATTCACGCGCGGGAAACGTTCGTTTCGATCGCGAATGTGTTTTTTTACAGCCCGCAACTTCCGGCGTCTATTTCTAGAAGAAGTTGTAGTGTCGTTTATGAAATCGGCAATATCGCGTCGCTTTATCGACTCGTAACAATAACACCGTGACCAGGTTCAGATTATCTTTACAGATTTTTCGATGCAAAATTTTTTCATGATTCACACAGGATTAATCGGCGCATGAATCAGCTTTCACGGCGAAATGTAGATAACTAACAATAATAAAGTACAATATATCTTTATGCGGAAATATTGATTCATAAGTACTTGAATGAGCTGGCGATAATCTTTTTGAACTCTTACAATCTTGAAAAATGGTGTGTCTTATCTTCGTTACGCATTGAATGAAACACTTCGAATATTGATAACAGAACAAACGTAACTTATAATACATTTCCATCTACGAGTTTTATACGTATAGATACAGTTTTAATCCAATTCTTAAATTTTTTATTTACAAATAAATTGTGATTAGATTTTATGTTTCCTTTCTACTTGTTTTCCTCATATCTCCTTTCATCATATTTTTCATAACGTGGATCATCAATGCTATTGGAATTTCAAGAAGTACGCAGATTTGTGCTAATTATGACATATGCGCTTTTTATGACATAGTTAATCATGTATTCCATATTTAAAGACGCAACGTTTCACGAGTATGTTCTAATGATTCTCTCTCTCTCTCTCTCTCTCTCTCTCTCTCTCTCTCTCTCTCTCTCTCTCTCTCTGCAATCGTTTCGATACATTCATCAGATTTGTTTGCTGCGAATTGCTGTATATACACGCTCGTGTTAGCAATTGCTGACTATTATTCCATTCCACAATTTTAATGAGCAGACGGTCGCAAAAGATGACGAATCAAATGCGCGTACGGCTAGCAATTGCTACAACTGTGTACGATTCTCGCTCATTATTTTTGCGGCGGCAGTCATAGACCAACATTTTACTTTTATTATTCAGCGTGTATTTATCACGATATTAATACGGTATTTATACATTTAAATATTTTTATTTCAAATTTTTTTAATTTAACTTGAAAGTAATAAATATTCTACGGTATTTGATTAAAGCGAGGAACGTTTTGGTACGTAAGTAGGAAATTTAATTGCCCGAAGAAATAAGTTCTTTCATATTTTGTTTCTTCTTCGATACTCATTTTTATCAGCACCGTATACATAAGTTACTTTAAGTAAAGCTCCAGTAACACTATATCTCTACGTTCATCACAAAATTTTAACACATGGAGATCAGCAAATATATCATTTCACATCCACACAGATAAGCTCGTGTTTATCTTCTAACATTCTTATTTCAAATGCAACGAATACGCTGTCATACTATATTAAATATTAAATTTTGCTGAATAAGTATACTTTTCTTTCCGAGAAGAAGTTACAGTGAAACAAACTTTTATCTCACAGGACTGTTACAATATTGTTCCCAATAATACAATTATGCTATATGTAACAGAAATAATTTATTTGATATACGAAGCGACCCCTTTAAAGGAAAAACAATGACGAGATGAAGAGGATACGATCTAAATTATGAATTTTTTTTAATGAAACGTTTCGAAGTAAATTGCATAATCCTACGAAGCACGCAACATCTTTCTCCCTCGCACGGTCATATGCTATTTGAATTAATTAGTCAATGATGACGGTAACGGACGGACGTGTCCGTCGTAATACGTAGGCTGTAACCGGTGGCCGTTTAGTAACTGCATACAGCCGGTGGATGTGGGTCACTGAGATTTCTCGTCGACGCCGGCGGGCGTTTATCTCTACGCTCCGGCTTCGCATATTGGTGTAATTTCGCTCGTTCCGCGTAACCGAGCAGATCCCCGTGAAAACATACACGTCTTTCTTGGCATCGTACAGACGCGCCATTGTGGGCAATGAATGCAATTTTCTTTCCTCCCCGGGCCTCGTCGATTCTTCCTCGCGATTGTCACAGCGTTAAAAGAGAAACGGACAGTTCGTTCCGACGAATTAAATTACACGTGTACGTAGAGGGCAGCCACCTATTATGAGATAGGCTCCTAATACGAGACAGCGGAGTTTCTGCTAAATTAAACGGGGAAACAAAATGTATTTATCAAATTAAATCAAATTGTGCTCTTTTATTTTATCAAAATTATTGGCTGCGTTCAGCAGAAAAAGCTGCTTTGCAACTGTTGTAAAATTCGTGAATCTGATTGGTGTGGTCTCTTACTCTTGAGTGAATTTAAGTGCATACGCCAATCAGATTCATGCATTTTACAACAGTTGCAAAGCAGCTTTTTCTGCTGAACGTAGCCATTAATTCCCATGTCGAAGCAGCGCACGTTTGTTATTTTTTTCTCCCGGTATTTAATTAAAAGTAAAGCAATGGGATGCTGCGTTCTTCTAATGAAATTAGAATATGAGGCTATGATGAGATGTAAAAGTAAAGGAAAGTCCCGTATTACGAGATAGACTCGTAAAACGAGACAGCGGAGTTTCTGCTGAATTAATAGGCGTCACCCGTTGGTTCCACCATGTATTTATCGCCCGCGGAGTAAAATCTGTTTGGTGGAAAATTGATTATTGGATCGTGCAATCGTTGCGAAAAAAAGATTTGCGATTGAATTTCGGCGTTGAAAATCTATCTCCTATTAGTATCCTACCTCATAATAGAGGGTATTCCTCTATATTTTGAAATGTACGTAAGTAATTTTAAATACTCAGAAGACGATACGCTTATCGCGGCATGAAATTTTATAGTTTGGACGCGTCGCGGTATCCGTTGCATAAGATAACATTTGAAAACAATACCTATACATTACCGTAGATCGCGTTTCTAGTGATCATCGCGCAACTACGCAGATGACCACCGCGGATATATCTTCACGCGTGAATCATGCAACTATGTAGCTTCAACGTGCCTTATTAGAGGAACTCTGGCCGATCCCCCTCACACTTATGCTCGTAGCGCGACTCGAATAGGTATATAACGTCCGATATAACGTATATAATGTGCTCGCATCGCATCGGCCGATGATGATCGCCGAGGAAAATATCCTTCAATACGCGTTGCTATTTTTAGAAGTGAATCGAATATACGAGCCGCCATTTTTCTTGAATCTACGTTGACATTTACGGTGCGTGAGAATAACAACCGATATCGAAAAAGATCGTAGCACTTTTGTGTCATACATGCGACAATTGTCTTACGACGTACGTAAACGAAGCCGAATAATAGGGGAACTTCGAATAGCTGGAGTACTTTTTACAGTTAAAAATCACTTTGCAATCGTTTTATACGACGAAGTGCACTTTCGTTCGTCCCATTCGGGATTAGTTACACGTGGCGAAAATTATGAATTGTTTGTAAATTATTCGTACGCTTGCCGTGAACTGAGTGCTGTAACCGCGCCATTACGTCATGCATCGCATATTTGACGTAATGATTATAACGAGGCACGCGAAGTACAGCCTAATTGCGTCTATTTAAGCTATAGCGCGAAATTAATGAGTAGCGAGTTCAACTACGCGATAACTGTGTTTTACGAAGTATCGCTTTTTCAATTTTATTTTTAGCTCAATAAAATTTGGCGTTATATATGGAGGAAAGTCCTCTATTATGAGATAGCGGGTTTTCAACCTCCAAATTCAATCACAAATCTTTTGACGCAACGATTACACGATCTAACGATTAATTTTCTGCTAAACAGATTTCACTCCCGGGGCAACAAATTCATGATGAAACCAACAGATGACGCCTATCCATTTAGCAGAAACTCCGCTGTCTCGTATTAGGAGCCTATCTCATAATAGGGGACTTTCCTCTACTTTTACGTCTCATCATATCCTCATGTTCTAATTTCATTAGATGAACGCAGCATTGCTATTGCTTTTAATTAAATACCGGGAGAAAAAATAACAAACGTGTACTGCTTCGACATGGGAATTAATAATTTCGATAAAACAAACGGGCACAATTTGGTTTAATTTTATAAATACATTTTGTTTCCCTATTTGTAAGACAAAATAGCTCTGTCCAAACTGTTGAAATACAAATACCGCGAACTTGTTCTGTAATAAAATTTAAATAAATTTCCAAATCGAAGTCCTAATAGAGTCTCAGTTCTGATCGTTGTTGTAGGATCAACAGTCGCGAAAATATCGAGGAAAATATCGGAGGGGAGACTTTTATTAAAGCGGTTTATTAAAAAGTCGTCACGTCACGTAAATCAAAGAGTCATAATTTCTACGATGTTTACTTGTTGCCTCATCTCGAATTTTCTCTTTCGGCGGGGGTAAAGTTTAACGTCTAACGACTCTCGCGAATTGCTGCGTTACTTATATATGGCGTACAGGAACGCACAGTTACGCCGGTTACGCGTTCTTCGCTTTAATGTGTTTTCTAGTCACCCGTGTATATTTAGTGACACGGCAGTCGCTCAAGCCGGTCGCTCGCTCAAAAGGTCAACATTGATCACACCGTCTATAAGCGTGCCGCATTATTGCCGTGCTGAGGACTTAAGAGTAAAGTGCTGTACGGCTAAGGCGCTTACGACTTGGAGCTATAATAAATGGAAGTAGCGGCTGCCGTTGGTAACGGGCCGTGTTCAATAAAAGATTGCACACTTTTCGAGGCGTAAAGCCGTCCCGGAGACGGTTGTGGTAAACGACGGGGAACAATACCGATATTGTAAGATTGCTCTATGTTAGCGTTGCTTGTATGAAGAAAATCATGAAGAAGAGGTGGAGAAATGCTGCATATACTTCCAAGAAATTTCGCGTGATCCCCGGGAAACCGCGCGAAGCCCCTCGCTACGGTTCCAAAGAGAATTTCCTGGTAACCGTATTCGAGGAACGGTCGCCGTTTGATCGATGCCCAGAACCGTTCACGGTTGGATTCGCTCTCGCGTAGTGGGCTGGTTACGCGTTACGAGCCACGAGAATGACGCCGAGAAAAGGGGTTAAGTGCCGATGGAGTTGGACGCTGCGCGACGAAAATATCGAGAATGTGGAGCACGTGAGCCTCGATCCCGAGTTTCAGCGGGAACTGGGCTGCTCGGTCGGCGAGCACGTGTTCCTGGAATATCCTTGGGCGTACGTGTCGCGAGCGGCTGTTTTGAGGCTCGCCAACCGAGCGGGCTCGTCGCTGGAGCCGTACCGAGATAGGATCGAGGCATACAGCGGCGACACCTTCCTCGTGGGCTATTCGTCCAGCGAGCTAATCGGTCGCGATTTCGTCATCTGCTTGACGGACGACGCGAGGTCAGCTGTAACGAGGAGAAACGCCGATATCGGCAAGGAGATCCGGAGCGAAGTCATCCGGAAGATCAGGAAGACCGGCAGGTCCTGGAAGTCCCTCGGAAGCGAGGCGGCGCTAGATGAGGGCTTGGTCCGAAGCACGAGAGAGTTCTTCGAGGTGGAGGTGTGTCTCCCGATCGAGTCTTTAGGCCGGGACCGGAAGCTTCGTGACAGATCCTCGGGAGACTCTTGGGACAGCTATGTGGAGTTAGCTCCGTACGAGAAGTTCGAAAACGTCGAGAAGAAACGTGTCTCCAAGATGATTCAGACGCACTTAGAGCCGCGGGAAATCGAAGCTCAAACTTATCCCGGTTATCCTAAGAACGCCTGGACCCAGTATTCCTACGAGGACACCTCGCAGTTGCAAGCTGATAACGCCGAGTCGGAGGGGCAGGAGAAGGAGACGGAGGAGAAAGAGTCGGCCGAGGGGCGATCCGAGAGAGAGTCCGAGGAGAGGAGGAATACCGAGGGCGGATCGAGAGAGGTGTCGGAGATCGAGGCGGAGCAGAAGCCGGCGGAGAAGAGCCCCCTGGAGCTCTTCTTGGAGGCCCGCGCGCCGGAAATGATCGAGGCCGTGTGTTACAATACGGTCGTGAACGTGCACGTGGACGACATCGAGACGCTGGCGCAGCGCGAGTTCGAAGCGGCCCGGCCGCCGGACGAGATCGGTTGCGCGGAACGCTTCTCCCTTGTCGACTTGCGCTTCACGGCCGGCAAGGTCATCTCCGACGCTTCCTGGCATCCGGGCCTCGTCGAGTACGTGGCCGTCTCTTACGTTGCCGCGACGCCGCGCGGAACCGTTCCAGCAACGTCGAGCGTCGAGCGTGGCGTTGCGTCCAGACCGGAGCCGGCGGTGTTGCTGTGGTCCCTCGCCGATTCCCTTCGGCCTCGGTTGTCATTGTGGTGCCATCCGCAAGTCTACTGCGTCTCCTTCTGTCCGATGAACAGCGACTTCGTGATCGGCGGTTCCGCGTCCGGCCAAGTGGTCGTCTGGAATATTCACGGGCGGATGGAAGATGGAGATGTCGAGGATCGAGCGGACATCAGGCTCGACTTTTGGTCGCAGGACACCGTCTCTGTTACTGACGCGTCCGTGGTGTCCGATCGGGATCACTCGCACGAGCTGCCGATTCACCGAATACAATGGCTTCCCAATAATTATAGGATAGAGCCGTCCGGGAAACTGACTAGACTGTCCACCAGCTCGAGCTGTCAATTCCTGACGATTTCCGAGGACGGCGTCGTCGCCATTTGGGATCTTCTTAGGTACTCGGTTACCTCTCAGCTCAAGCCGAGCGATCGCGAGGATCTTAACGGCGTTTTTCGGCCGACGTATCGCCTGGACGTTCGACCTCCCGAGAACCCATCCTTTACGCCTCTTCAGCTGTGCCTCCCGTCCATCAGTGCTTTTCAACAAGGCGATAGACGTCGTAACGAATTAGATTCCACGGATGTCGACGGCGCGAAGAGATTGTGGATCGGCACGGCACAGGGACATTTTGCTTGCTGCACCTGGGAGGGCCAGGTGTTCGACGTGGAAACGTCCGCTCTGGAGGGGTGCAAACTTGTTAATTGCTCGTCCGCGCACGATGGTCCCGTCGTATCGATTCTCCGATCGCCGCACTTTTCGGACGTCCTGCTGACGATGGGCGGTCGCGTCTTCGCCATTTGGAAGGACGATTATCTGGACCTTCCTCTGTTCAGGCGAAAATCCAATTGCGCGTACACCGCGTGTTGCTGGGGCAATCGGCCGGGGACCTTCCTGATGGGCACTAGTTTGGGCGAGCTTGAGATTTGGGATATCAAGAGGAGGGCACACGAGCCGGTGCTCACGCAGACTATTTCTAGACAGCCGATAACCCTCTTATCGCTTCAGGAGTCGTGTAAACACGGTTCTAAGCTGATCGGCGCCGGCGATTGTAACAGTGCTTTTCGTATTTTTGAGGAGCCAACGGAATTCGAGGATGATACGCTTGAAAGGATGGACTGGTTTGAAGAGTACGTATGGCGAGAGGTGAGAAGGAAGAAAATGTTTTCTTCGTGGCAGAAAGAATTCCTTGAAAATGACGCGACAGTCATCGCTAGGAGGCAAGCGAGAGCGGACGAGGAACATAGATTGAAACTTGAAACGACCAGGCTGAAACTGCACAGAGAACATGAAGAACGATTGAGGTTGGAGGCCGAGGAAGAAGTACGCAAGATGCCGAAATCCAAAGATACACTGTGGAAACTGCGTCAGCAAAAGAGGATGAAGAAGGTCCTTTTAGAGAGGAAGAAATTTCTGCCACGGGAATTGGAGGAAAAGAGACTGCCATTGGTCCGCTTGGCTGAAGAGAGGCATCTAAAGATGATTAAAGCGAAGAGCGAAGCCGTGCTTCGGGATAAGCACTTCGATAACTTTGTGTCTCTCAAATTTCCTGAATATTACGATCTTGTAGAAAAAGACGAGATCCCGGAAGAGAGGCGTGAGACGACGAAGGATGATGAAATGATAGATGTACTTCTGCAAGAGTTTCATAAAATCAGGGATGAGGTGCGAAACACGATAGCGGAGAGGCCATACGTTCCGAAATTTGATTGGGACACTTTTTTGAAGAAGGGAAAGGAAGGTCCGCAAAGCATGAAGAATTTATAAATGCAAATGCAACAGCTTTTCTGAAAGGCACTCTTACTTCTAGAAGAGTGGCTGCCGTTTCAACTTTGATGATAATTTGGGTTGTAAATGTGAGTTGATAAGATAAGATAGTTCAATAAATGCTCAGAAAATTCCTTCGAGCAATGAATTACACATAATTGCAATGCACACAAGTGTATTGAAATCATTGTAAGGAGAGCATTGTGGGCAGAATACGATGAAACATAAAAAAATAATAAGCGTTGATACATGTGCGTGCGAAATAGATTAAATAAGTTAGCGGAATAAATTATATATTCCGTCCAAAATAAAATTAGCCGAACTTGTTCCTCTAATTCTGCAGTAATTAAATTGATTCAGCTACAATACACGAGCAATCTTTTTGTACAACAAAGATATTAAACAAGATTTCTCTTACTGTATAAGCAAAATTTAATTTTTCCCAACTCTTCCCATATCAAATACTTTATTCTCGTCAAGACAAGTGACCGTTTTCTCTTGCCCGATTATATTAACCGAATAATATCTTTTCTAGAGGTTTAATTTCACACTTAAGGGGATGCTGGAGTGGTTTGATTTACCGACAGAGTCGGATACCGTTTTTGCGTTTGTAAATCTTATTATTTGCATTTATGTACAAACTAATACCAGACCCAAGTGTAGAATGCATAGTTGAACATTTTCATATAAAAAACATTGAGGTTTGAAGTCTAATTATTTTCGTTTGTATCTATAATATGACATATTGAGGTTACGTTCCTTGAGGTAAGATTTACAAACCTCCAAAAACTGTATGCGACTCTGTCGGTGAATCAAACCACTCCAGCATCCCCTTAACTCATTTAAACTTTATTAAAGTTAAATGATTTAGCTTTTCGAGATCTTTGGAGAATTGATACATCGTTGTACAGTAATATCTTTTAGATGTAACATATTAAACGAAATTCGAATGTGTGAAAAGGCCACTACAACTGCGTGCAAATACTGATCTATAGTTTGTACGAAAAACTGTTTCTATATAATTGATTTTATGATTGTTAAAGCCCCTCGCTTTAAAATTAGCCGCACAGCGATGCTAATGAAGATGTTTGATGTTTTTCCAGGGTCTGGGCATAATATGTATGGCGTGCGCATCTCCAGCGTACATAGGTGCAACTCATTGGTTTCTGTTCGTCGCGGTGGTGTCTTTCATATCCACACTTATATGGAGCGCCATATACTTCCTATCCCTCCGGGAGGTACTTAAGGTGCCCATCAACTGGATCCTAACTGTAAGTACGCAGTCACGGAAGAAATTGTTCAAACGGAGCGTCATTTAAGTTTCCTCTTGTCCATTATATTTACCGAATGACATCTTTGGAGGTTTAATTTTACATTTAATTCATATCAATTTTATTGGAGAGAAATGATTGAGCTTCTCGAGATCTTCGGAGAATTGACATATTTCGGAAACACGTGACGTTATTAATAATCTACTCGAATTGGTATTTTCGTCAAAAATTTCACTGGAATTACTTCTATCCTTTACAAACGTGTGAATGTGTCTGTCATTAAAATTTTAAGATGTAACACGCGTATATACTTGATTAAAATGATTATGTATTTTTCAGGAACTTCTAAATACGTCTATAAAAACCGTGCTTTACATGATCGCATTCATCGTCCAGTTGTCGGCCTGGAGCGCATACAGAGGTTCATCAGCGAATATCGCTGCTGGGGTGAGGCGGGCTATAATGAGGCTTAAAAAAAAAATTGAAAACGGTAATCGACGATGTTGACTAAAACACAATCGACGTTGCTCACAGGTATTTGGAATCTTCAATACCATCGCATACGCCGCCGGGGCTTATTTCCTCTACGTCGAATGGAAGAGCACTAACACGCAATGAGCACTGTCGGCCTGCAGAGGACAAGCCAGGTACCTGAAGAGCATGCAACAACAACAACAATTGCCGCGACCAGACTCGCGACTTCTCAGCGTCCGTCCAAGAAAATTTTGGCACGATCCCAAGATCGTGCTCGGTAGGAAAGTCAACGCTGGGAGGGACGGCTTGAAACTAGTCCGGCGTGATCCTCCTCAGATCGTGTGTAGCTTAAAAAAAGACTCTGTACCTACGTGCCTTAAGATTAGTTACTTGTCGTGATCGTCGTTAGAGCGAAGCTCGGTGCTACGTCAAGGAGAGTCGACGTAGAAGCGAACGGAGTGCTATGTTCAAGAGATCTGTCTGAAGACTACAATGTTACAGTCACGAAGTCTACGCGAGATCGTGTCATTTTATCGGAAATTGTAACATAGAAGTAATCTAAGAAATGAAATTTACATCGAAATCTCTCTAAACGCGTAAGTTCCGGTAATCTCGGTATAGTTATTTAAATGTTATATATCTAACCTGCTTTGGTTAATAAAGAAATACATCTGTATCTTTAGGTAAAGATAATATAAGCATAAATTCTACTTTGTGGCCGAAAAGATGTACTGTATAATTCAATTTTTCACAAATGTCATCTGTTCTTTTTATTAGTTTATCTCAATTTTGAAACTTTATCATTTTACATAAATTGCGTGTCTTTTATATTAAATATCACACAAATGCTAGGACAATCCCTGTAAAATTACATATGAGACTGGTGTGTCGTTTCGTTTGTATTGCCACTTCGACCCTTCGGCAGACGACAAGATAAATAGTTTTAAGAGACCTTGATATATCAGTGTGCGGTAAGTTTCCGGAGGGCTATCATTGGCTTTCGTACAATTCAGAGACGTGGTGCTTACGGTTTTATAGTCTACAGCTACTTCAGCGGAGTCTAGATGATTTTCGCATTGTAATTACGAGAAACGTTCAATTCGCTTCTGATTATCCCAACGGATTAACTTCTTGTGCAACGGATATAAGTGCGTGAAACGTTATTTTCTAACCGTACCCTTGCGCACTCTCGCGAGATCTTATTTATATACACAAACATATATATATATTTCTTTATACATAATATAATATATGGCATAAGTATATATATATATATACACATATCCTCTCTAGATCGGATACAGTGTAATTTCTTTTTACATTCTCCCCCATTCTCATGTAAATTGTGTACTTGATATGGATTAAGGGAGGCTCTTGTCTCAACGGAATCGGTTATGGATACAGCTTATATCGATCGTTTTTTCGTTATGTTTCTATGACTATGCAGAAGTTTATGTTTAAAAAGTGCTTTTGCGCATTTCTCAACAGCTATTGCCGCGTGATAACACCGACGCGCGACGTGATTAGCTGGAACTACAAGTGGACATTACGTTGGCAATTAAGATTATGCCCACTCTTCTTATTACCACATTCAGCGTTGAGAGGACGCACTCGCTTACTTATCTCTCCCGCTCATTCGTTATTTTCCGCAGTTCAGGTAGCATCGACACTTACGCATTTACCCTCGAAAAATTGTTTATCACAATATTGTTATGTATTCGTTTATATGTAGCACTTGACCCACATCGTAATTGACTTATGTGCGCGCGGTGACATATACAATACATAATATATATATACATATATCTCTGTGTTCGAACATTTTTTTATTTTCAAAGTTTATTTATTTTTAAGATATGAATGCTATATATAAATAAAGTAAAACTAAAGACCACTGTGCGCACAGGTGTTCCTTTACTGCCAAGAGTTTTATCCTGACTGTTTCACGTTTAATTTCTATAATGATTACCGTACAACACATATCATTGCTGCTATATAACGTTGCTAGTTCAATGCAAATTGTAAAGGCATTGTAGATATACATAAATTAGCAAGATATTGCATGACAATATTTCAGAAACTAATTGCAAAAATTCGCAAGTTTTACGTTATCATATGTTTCTATTTATATACAGGGTGTCCTAAAACCACCGGAGGTCCTCTTAATGACAGATTCCTCAGAACATTTCCAGACGAAAATCCTAATACAAAAGTGTCGAGGCTATAATAGTTTTTAAATTAGAAGCGATTATTTTCCACAAATGATAGGGCTGAAATTTCGCGCGCTCAGGAACGGCGAAATGACAAGTGATATAAGTGCTCCTATGAATATCGTTCTTTTTATATCACTTGTCATTTCGCCGTTCCTGAGCGCGCGAAATTTCAGCCCTATC